CAGCCTTCCCGGGAAGCTGCAAACACCACGCTTCATCATACCTTTTCTCAGTCCGTAGACAAATTCTTTACCTGTGAAACTGCTGCCGCCTTACATAATACCCGACTACCCCCTGGCCTCCTCCACAAATAGCGCATTCGAGTTTAGCGACGTTACAGTTAGCGGGCAGGTAAAGGATCATCTTATCATTTCTTCCTATCCTCTTGACTCGCTTTAAGCTAATTTAGGACTTAAATGCCTACTTGATTTAAATATGCAGTGTTACTGGCCTGGTTGTTTTCTTTTTTCTTTTTTCCCTGGCAAACTTACACTTCGTACTAGTCCAATCCCTACACCGGATTACTCTGTCAGCCCACGCTACTCTTTCTAGTTTATTACGCTCGCATCTGGAACAGCCTTCCCGGGAAGCTGCAAACACCACGCTTCATCATACCTTTTCTCAGTCCGTAGACAAATTCTTTACCTGTGAAACTGCTGCCGCCTTACATAATACCCGACTACCCCCTGGCCTCCTCCACAAATAGCGCATTCGAGTTTAGCGACGTTACAGTTAGCGGGCAGGTAAAGGATTATCTTATCATTTCTTCCTATCCTCTTGACTCGCTTTAAGCTAATTTAGGACTTAAATGCCTACTTGATTTAAATATGCAGTGTTACTGGCCTGGTTGTTTTCTTTTTTCTTTTTTCCCTGGCAAACTTACACTTCGTACTAGTCCAATCCCTACACCGGATTACTCTGTCAGCTCTGTACAGTGACTGGCGCTTTCAGCCTAACTCTAACTGATAAAAACCAAACCGAAGCCAGGTTTTTTCATCATTACCGGAACGCATTCTGCGCTTATATGTCCATCTGGTGATTCGCCCCACTAAACACTCACACACAACATAGCGCTACGCTTCTGCTCGACATGGTAGCCCACAACAACGCTCCGACGCCGTTTGACCATGGTGCACTCGCTGTGAATATCACAATCCCATTCCCACTGACACATTTGCAGCTGTCATTTCACTTCGCCACCACGACCTGCCTCTACCAGCGTCTGTATGCTGGTTGCTTGTTCGAATTGACTGAGCTGTCTTTACTGGCCTTGCTCCCCTCCGACCAGAAAAAGTGGTAGCTGAAGTATTTATTGACGCACAAACCACATTTATGACTACTTGGATGGTTTTCCACCTTGCAGATCTGGTAGCATGCACGAGGGATGAAAATCTCGTGTGGTGGACGGGTACGCTTTGCATGGAGGGTCGCCCTGTTGCGTTGCACCATGGTGTGTTCGTATACCCGCCACCCCTCCAGGAGCACGGCTGCATCGCTCATCGCCGGTGATCGTCAGCCTGGTCTTTATATTCAGGAAGTCAAAAAGTACTGCTGACTTCTGTTCGTCGCTGCTGGTCTTGGGCTCGCGTTTGTTGAGTTATGCAACGCCATAAACCACAGATGAAGAAAAAACTGTCCCCTCATCTGTCAGAAAACGAGTAAATGAAAATAAAAATACGCCTGGGATAACCTGAAAACACTCAGCAACGCCCGCGACCTACATCGACGAACATAGCTGTATCTGCCTTTGTCAGAACACAGGCTACAACGCACCAAAGCCCATTTCGTCAACCAAACAAAGAACACATCTACCTGTCGCTCCCAGTGGTGGACACGAAAGTCTCTACCGCTATGCACCACCTACAGATTAAGGATGATAGCATTGCTTCAGGGACTGGTGACTGTTTCTCTCCCTTTCGCTCCTGGTAGTATCAACTCATGTAGTAAATACCAGATTTGCCACTTATCTTGGAAGTTCACTCCCGTCAGCCCTTATACATTCGCTTTCCGCGCCACCACTCCGCACACCTGTACCGGCTTTTACTAGATCCCTTGTAATTTACTATCGCATGTGAGCAAACCCAACCCCTGGTCGCTAGACTATTAAATGGAAATCCATCTATATCCCATTCCACATAGTCACTTATCACCACCTTGATCGCATCGGTGTCAAGTTTTTCTTTCTATATATATTAATATGTATTATCCCATTGGATGTCTCCTCAGACTCACCATGCTCTACTAATTTCAACCCAACCCTTATCATTCCAAGTTTTGAACTTCGGCAATGCGCGCTTCTGACGACCTGGCTTACTGTTATCCACTCCGCCTGGTGCATGATCTACAACCACAGGATCCCCACACGGAGCAAGAAAACCTGCGATTCAATATCGGCTTTGTTTCACCTTGTTTCCTTGGCCAGCCTGAAGTGAACCCCGCTGCCCAAAGTACTGCGCACCCCAGCCCAATCACTCCGAATGTGACGTCTGATACGTGGATGTCCAACAACTGAAGCACGTCAGATGGCACCGCCATACCCAGTTTGATAGCACACCCACGAATATCCCATTCCTTCTCCCGACCGTGCCGTCTCGCCCATTCATTCCATTAACTGCAACTAAGAAAAACTCCCCACCTGACCCCGACTGCCTCAACGACATATTCATTCCAACCTTTTGAAATACTCGTTCCAATTTAATAAGCCCTGTGTTTCTGTGCTTCCCACCAAATTCAATAGCTTTCTGTACGGGTCGTGTTCCGGCTTGCGTGTTCCCATCATCCCGCTATTTCGAAGACCTATTATGCATGACTCCAAAACAGCGATAAAGAATCCCAACCGAAACCCCGCCCACCCGAGCCAGCAGTTGTAACTGCGAGGTAATTTTTCATCTAGCCCCAATCGTCTCTGGGACGAGTTCTCTCGTACTCGATGAACTTTCACTCAAATTTGGCCAGCTTGGTTTTCTACTGCAATTTCGGCTTGCCTCTTTCACAAGTTCAATTCCGTGTACGGTGTTCGGTTGGCCCTGTGCTTTAGCGCTATGTCTACCATTCAGTCTATCTCTTGCTTCTGACTACCCTACAACAGTGCAACCAGTGAGTCTGCTTAGTTTCAGCTTAAACCACATTTTCGAAAGAAAACTTGCCATGTTCGCCCAATACGAGTTGCTCATTCTCCACTTTTTCTCATTGCGACTCTGACCGTTTACCCAACCGCCCAAGGTCACTCCTTGCCAGCTATGTTTATTTCAGTTTCAGTTCATGTCAGCCAGCTTTGAATTAATCGGACCTCATGCCCGAACATGCGCTCAAGAACAATAAATGCTGACAGACCCACCAACTAAATGCGACATAACGCCTCAGCGGCTACTTGTTTTGCAAGGCCTGCACGCTTTTCTTTAGGCAGCCATGGAGCGATTCTGAGTTTGGCTCATCGTACAGACACGCCACATCACCAGTCGTCATACGTTTATCTCTGATCTCATGTCACTTCAGGCTCCGAGCTTCCTTATTTGCGCAGAAATTATTCAGTGCATGCCCCCCATGATCACGCAGACCCCCACCCGTACGCATCGACCACACACCTGTTACCTAAAGCTGAATACCGATTGCGTTTTCGAAGTCGGGCAGTGTCGCCCTACCATTGTTAGCAATTATGACCACCTTCCGCTTCTTGTTTGTTCGGGTCGCAGCCTACCTCATATCGTGTCATAAATGATATATTTGGCAGACTTTTTCGACACTTTCCTATTTTAGTCCACAGTGTAGACGTGGGTGTTTTATTTTGTCGTTTGAATGGCACCAATGAACCACCTTGCGCTCTCGATGGGCCCAAGACTATCCTTGATTCATACTGGTCCTGATTCGTCACGATTCCCTGGCAATTCGTCACGACAGAGATAGCTGTTACTGACTCACCCAAAATGTTCGTGTACAAGACTGTTCACGCACCCAAATAAGACGTCGCGATGATGATAACACGACTGTCATACCCAGTGCTGTTTTATTGTGCCGTCTGTTTGCTCCGTTCACAGACCCACTAATTCATCTAACAGTAATATCAAGGTGTCGGTATACCGATGAAGAGTGAATCTTGCCGTGCTCCCAATATAGCATGTGTTGACCGTCTCAAAAAAAGAAAACTTGCTAGCTGTGACGAATTCCTGGCCGAGCTTGGCAGGGCGGCTGCCGCAAATATGGAAGATTTTCCTTATACAGGTAGCAAGTGGCTGCTCAACATCTGAGGTTGTGCGGACATAAAGGACTTATGAGTGTCCATGCAATCATGAGATTATTTTCAAATCCAACACAGAGGCAAATATGTAAGCCAACTTTTTACCCAAAACTTACCGCCGTCCTCGCGGAGACTATGCGCGGAGCCATGAGCAGCCATTAAAATATGAATTCCATACCCGTTGCAGACGTCGAGTACGCTTAAACAGCTTCCAACAAAACGACGGCCGCATGCAGCGATTTTAGGGATTAGAAAAGATGTCACCAAATACAAGAACTTCGTTTTAAAGATTCCTTCCTTTACAAAACAGGTTGTGGGAAATTTGAGGTGCGTCTAAGGGCCGGCCAAAACTTAAGAACACCAGCACTGTGGTGGAGCTATCATCCCAAGAACTTCCCAATCGCTTTAAGCCGCGAATCCCTGACGGTTCTTGAGCTGCTGTAGCAGGGTGTTTAGTGGCTTGTATCAACCTGATTTACCGTTTGAAATGCTGTTTGCTTAACTGGATGTCTACATGTGTGCAGCAAATTCTGTGAGGAACTGTAACCAGCGAACGGTTGATTGAAGTCTGCTTAAGGTGCCTGTTCGCGCCTCAACTGACTTAGATCTGACTAATCAAAGACGGGTTTTGTAACACCCCGAGCTCCTTTCTGCGGCCAGCCGAAAAACGAGGCGCGTTTGAGGGTGCCGGAGATCGGAATGCGCAAGTGGATGAGCTTAGCGCATCCGACACTCAATTAGGTGGGCGATATGAGCTATGATCGGTTGCATGAAAATGGCGAATGAATGATTCAGCATTACGCTGATTGCGGGACAAACTTTCGAAATCGCTGAGGTCGACTGGTCACACAGTATTCCCAAATACCCTACCGGTTGAGCCCTTCAATTGATCACACCACCACCAGTTGTCGATGGCGCGGTGGCCAAACGTTCACGTGGCCAGGGTGTATGCAAGGGACTAAAACGTTTTTGGTGCTCTCGTTGCTGCTGACATTCCGGGATGGGGTCCATGAGATTCTCAGTGCGCCTGGTTGGATACGCTGCACGGTGGCTGCTAAACACGTCAGCAGCGTTCATATTGGCAGTTTCCATCCAGGTTGTCTGAATGATCTTCTGGTGCGAGCGCCTCGAAGTGAGTGTAGTACAGGGTCCCTTCTCCCTGTCCACTTTTATTTTTATCTTCCCAGTGAGGCTTTCAAATAAAATACGGTTTTACGTAGCATGGCACTAGTGTTGAAAGCTTAGTTTACTCTGTCGGTGATGATGATGGACCTCGAAATTGTTGAGCAGGCGAACGCTACATGCCTAAAGGCAGATCGGGGTTCATATTTGGAATGGAGTCTTGATATGGGTGCCTCGTAACTCGCACTCATTTCGGTGTACTTACCGCTGAAACGTTTCGTCTGAACTACAAATCGCGCCGATTTTCTTGAATCCGTGAGCACCCCGGGCACTGGAGACACCAGCCCACCCAATCTCTGGAACACGCGGGTATCCGTCACGTGACCAACTCTTATTCCAGCTCGTGACTTGGCTCCAGTGACCCGAATGTTCACATGGACAGACTCTGCACTAACTCGTACTGCTAGCCGTAACAGCACTTGTGCGTGGTGTCTATTTCAAACCCATAGGTCCTGATGGTTTTCTTCAGGAAGCTGATTTCAAGCTTGTCAAAAGCGAGTGCAATGGTTTGCTCCGGTAGATAGAATGCAACGTGTCAGGAAAAAGCTTCGCTTCCGTAATCCCTTACGCTTGGAATTACACTTTGCCGGTTGTTTAATTTTGGTATTTATTCGCTGACCTGGGCCAACAACGAACCTTTATAAAGAGAAAAATTCTCAGTGAGTCCGTTCCACTTGACCCTCTCTATCATTGTATGCTCATTTATCTTTATCGTTTTTATTTCTTTTCCACACCTTCCTTGTGAAGCAGCTTTTTGAGTAGCCGGACCGCCACATTTTTGTCCATTATGTCTAATAAGCCAGTATATTTACCGTATTCTACAGTATTTCTTACCTCCTCTAAATAACGAAGCAAAGATATACACTATCGGCTACTCTAGCGTTTCTCACGTGCTACCACTTGCAGCCATCCGGCAACAGAAGGGCCTCAACCGTAAGAAATATAGGCAGGACAATTTGAAGATAAGACCTGTTCGTTCCACACAAACCCATGAAAAATGTTATCAGTCTCATGCATCCCTAAGTTAAGACAGCTTCGGGGCTGGTTAACTTAGCAAATTTGGCACATAAGGAGATGTGGGTCGGAAGCTATTTCCAAGCGCCTTCCAGTGACTGGGGCAGTGCTGAACTGAAATTGTTTGCATGGACTAGAAAGTGGGGCCGCGCCATTTTGCTTTTGGCGCCAACACCCGTGGACACGTATGTTTCCTCATACCCCCTACTTCGGTATTACTCCACACTATTATGGTAAGCACGCGGAGTGTTCTCATACCTCCCTAAAGGGTTCGTGGGAATTCCTCCCCCGCAACTGGTAACAGTGCCGCAGGTTATCCCAACCCCGGTTACTGTGGCCGCTCCGGCCCTTGCAGTCACCACACAGTCGGAGACCCCAGTGGTAAGCTATATCGTATCTTATTGTCCTTCTCAGGTGCAATATGTTCGAGAGAAACCCCCGGTTACAACAGTTTTTGTGGGAAACATATCAGATCGTGCCCCAGACCAGCTCATAAAGACGCTTCTAATGGTACGTTGCGTTCACTACTTTTACGTCTTCAGCGCTGTGGAAATATTCTCAGCTGGAAACGGGTCCAGGGAGCTTCTGGAAAGCTTCAGGCTTTTGGATTTTGTGAGTATGAAGATCCTGAATCTACGATGAGATGCGTGCGCTTATTAAATGGTCTGGCTGTGGGAGACAAAAAGCTTCTGGTAAATCATACACTTGCTACGTAACCTGCCGCAGGTGAAAGTTGATCCAAAGACAGAAGACCTACTAAATGAGTACAAAAAGAAGAAGGAAGAGAAGGGTGAGCAGGGGAAACTGGGTGCCACCGCTGAAGAAGTGGATTCGTCCACCCTACGTGACGATGAAGGTGTTAAATCTGCCCTCGAAGACATTTTGAAAGAGCACGAATCTTTGCTTGATGGTAGCGGTTCGTCCATGCCTTTTTCTTTTTTACGCACTTCAGATTCCCCTAGAAAATCAGATAATTACTCGGAGGGCCCTCGTCACCTGGTGAGTCGCCAATTGGTTTGCCATGCCCTTTGATTATATACGCGGAATAAGCCCGAGATAGCTTAGTGGCGGTGACCCCAACTTCTTGACCGGAAGGCCTGTTTTTCAACCCCAACCCAGACGTCTCGCCGGCTCCTGTCTGGGCTCGGGCAACCTGGCCGATATTCGACCGGGTGGCATGGCAACGAAGCCTGGAAACGGTGATACAGCTGGACGGTTCTTCAACGACCATTCATGTACATGGCACTAGTATTTACAAAGTTTATAACCAACCGAGTGCGTCAAGTTAATTGTAATCCAGTATAATGGAAATTTTCGAGGCTAGCCGTACGACTACAATGTGTCCTGAAGGGTCGAGGAAGAGAGGGAAGGACGACCATTCTATGAATATGG